CATCGCACTGTGTCAAGTAGAACTAGAACTGATTTCTATAGATGGTGATTTCTATAGGTGTAAAGTACAGCGTGTGTGTACAATACAATATATTGGTATACTCGTATGTATTAGCCTTCAGGCACTCGAGATGGCATACAAAATGCCAGTTCACCGCAATCCAGAACTGGACAAACATTAGCAATTGATCAATTCGAGAGCTTGATACTGGCCAGCTATGTCCACAGTGGACGAGTGCGACGAAATCGAAGTGCAGCCCATAGATATCGGGCTAGAAGTAGAAGTGCCCAGCAGACAGCTCGAATACCTCAATAGATAATCGATAACTGCGACTTCTAGCACATTCGAAACGCATTCGAACTGTGTCAAAACTCAAGTAGCATCGCCTTATTTACCTTGTCTATGAAACAATTCACAGACATACCCATCTGATTATCTATTGAGCAGCGGCATGCCGCCAGACTGCAGATAGGCCCTACACACACATACAGTTTTATATGCATATATATGTATGTGTGTGTACATAGGCACAATCTGCACTTGTGCAACGCGAATCACCAAGAAATTTTTATTGCTGCGCAAAAAACTGCATCAAACTTGAACTAAATTCTGCGCATTTATTGAAAGGCCAATCAAACTTGAATGGGCGCATAAATGCATAGAAAAGGTATGCAATGACTTACTGGAGGTCTCCGAAATGAAAGTAGAACTAGATTAGATTAATAACATTTTGTTATGCATTATGAGTTACCGAAACCTAAATGAGATCCGAAGCTTTACAACTTTGTCTCTTCCTGAGACTCTAGGGTTTCTTTCTTTTCTTTCACTCGAGAGTTTAGCTTGGGAGTAACCTCTCTTGACCTCACTTTCATCTAATCTCAACTCAAAATCCAAAACCCAAATCCTGTTCGCCTGTGTAACTGATAGACCAAGATGATTTCATCGAGTCGCACATCTAATACCCTAGAAAAACAAAGATAGTTCCATGTTGTACTCGAAATTCGTTTGATTATCGTAAATAATCTGAGTAGAGATACACGATTTATGTTGTCCGAAATCAGATTTATATTTTTCAGAAATTATAATTAACTATCAATTCGTCGTATCAGCATAATATCAAAGTTCCTCTTCTGGCGTCCGCTATAGAAATCGGTTGCTCCCTGAATGCTCATTTCTCAATTCTCTCTCCCTTTTGGTTTGCTCTTCCCTTGTATTTGCCTCGATTCTTCACTCTCTCTGAATGCTCGTTTCTCAATTCTCTCTCCATTTTGGTTTGCTCTTCCCTTGTATTTGCCTTGATTCTTCACTCTCTACAGGCTGTATTTCTTTCGCCCTCTCTACATATACATATGTGTCTACCTCTCTCTCATATTCTCTGTTACTGTTATGTCACAAGTTTTATATTTTTGTTTCTTTTCCTGTTCCTACCGTCTCTAGCTCAATTTATTGCACTCTCATTATCCAATTCCCTCTCCCTCACTCTCTGTAACACATTCTCTGTCTCTATCACAATTTGCCATACTGTTTCTTCATAATATTTCGCTCTCCCTTATACTAACTCTGTCTCTCTCATACCATATCTTCATCTGTCTTCTATGTTTCCTCTATCACTTGACTCTCTCTTTCATATAATCTATCTCATTTTCTCCCTCATTTTCTTCGTCTCTCTTTTTCTTGCAGCCCTTTGTTAAACCTTCGCCTTCGCTCTCTGTCTGTCTCCGTCTCTCTTTCTCTTATATTCTCACTCTTCCTCTCCCTTACACTCTCACTCTTTTCCAAAATTTCCCAGTCAATAATATAGTGTATAAAACCCTCTCATGATGTCTGCCTCCCCCTCTATCTCTCTTTCTCCATCTTTCTCCCTAAATATATGACGACTGCAACTTGTAGTTGTAGCTGGATGTTTCTGGCTGCCATTCAGCGATCAGCTTTAGATTGGGCTTCACGAAATTGTCGAGGCCTCTGGCATCTACCCCCTGCCGGCTCTGCGGCAGTCGCTTCTTGTGCTTTGGCTTCGTCTTCGGCTGGGCCAGCCACTGGGACGGCGGCTCGGGCAGATCGCCGGCCATTGGCGGGCACATCAGTGGCACCGACTTATGCAGATTGAGCTCGCGTCGCTCGCAACGATTGAGCACACTGCGCACCTCGTCGCTCTGGACGAAATAGCTGCGCAGCTCATTGGCATTGAAGTGGGTCATCATGCAGCTCTCACTGGGATCCTGACGGTTCTGGATCAGATGGGCAGCCATCAGCACGCTGGCCAAGTTCACGCCGTCCATGGCGGCCAGCGCCGGTAGCGACACCAGCGGCTGTCCGTTCGGCTGATGTGTCCACGCATAAACCTTCTCGCCCAACAGCTGACAGGTGTCCGCAATGCCATCGACACTGCGCCTCTGAGGATTTGCTCCAATCGGCTGTGGCTCTGGCTTTGGCAGCTCGTATGTTGTCTTCTCTGGCTTTACTTCAACCGTATCATAATAGCTCTTACAGTCTCTGTAGTACTTCAATGCATCCACTGTGGATCCACATGGCTGCTGTAGTTCGCTCAGATTCTTGACACTACCATCGATGTTCCCACTCTGGAGATCTGCACCAATCGGCAGGGGCTCTGACTGTGGTCGCTCTTTGCCCAACTGCGTTGTCTTCTCTGGCTCTACCTGAACTGTCTCATAATAGCTCTTCCAGTCTCTGTAGTACTTCAATGAATCCACTGTCGATCCAATCGGCTGCTGTAGTTCGGAATAGTAGCCCAGATTTTTGGCACTACCATCGATGCTCTGACTCTGGGCAGCTGCTCCAAGCGGCTCTGCGGGCAGCTCTTCACTCAAGTACATTGACTTCTCTGGCTCCACCTGACCCGTCTCGCTGTAGCTCTTCCATTCCTTGAAGAACATCAATGCATCCACTGTGGATCCAATCGGCTGTGGCTCTGACTGTGGCCGCTCTTTGCCCAACTGCGTTGTCTTCTCTGGCTCTACCTGAACCGTCTCGCTGTAGCTCCTCCCGCCCTTGTAGTACTTCAATGCATCCACTATGGATCCAATCGGCTGCTGTAGTTCGGAATAGTAGCCCAGATTCTTGGCACTACCACCGATGTTCTGATTCTGGGCAGCTGCTCCGATTGACTCTGGTTTTGGCAGCTCCTTGCCCAGCTGCTTTGCCTTGCCTGGCTCTACCTCAGCTGTATCGATGTAGCACTTCCCGCCTTTATAGTCCTTGCATGAAAACACGTTGGATGCCAGATCCTTGACATTGCCATCGATGCTCTGTCCCTGAGGATCTGCTCCACTCGACTGTGGCTCTGACTGTGACTCTACCTGAACTGACTCGCTGTAGCTCTTCCAGTCCTTGTAGTACTTGAATGAATCCTTTTCCGGTCCAGACGGCTTAGGCAGCTCGGGATAGTAGTCCAGATTGTTGGTAAAAAAGGGCCTATCGACGATTGGCTCAGCGCAACTATTATCGCTGGCTTTCACCGGGGTCTTCTTACCTCTGCGCCTTTTATCGCCGTCCATCTTTTTGTTTGCCGTACTCATTTAAATAAAATAGTTACTTATCAAAACAAACAAACTGTATTTCGATATGAATTGTGCATAGAATTTCAGTATTCTACAACCTGACATTTGACAAGCATCGAACAGCCTACTTGACACATTGAAATAAAACCCACAAGTTTCATAACGGAGGCGAGGGGCAATCCCGACAAGCCCATGATATCGATATATATCGATAGATATAGGAGGCAGCTCGTAAATAAGTTAACATAGTCGTTCACACAGGGAAAAGGCCGCCCATCTATTTATGTAAATCAAGTAGCAATATATTTCGATAGACTTGTTTTTGGCAGAATCAAGCCCTATTATGCAGTCAGGCACTCTCTAAGTAACAGTACTGTTGAGAACCATTTTGAATAGTTCATTTCTCGCTCCTTTTCTCTCGTTCTCTTTCACTCCCTCCTATTCTCGCAGAGCGTGCACTCTGTCTGGCACTCTCTTGCTCTCCTTTACTTCTCTATCTCTCATATACTCATTTACTCTCTCTCATTACTTACTCTCTCTCATGCTGTCTCCATTTAACTTGCTCTCCTTCTCTACCTATTACTGTATATCCATATGTGTTTTTCTTCATATCTCTCTCCATAGCTTTTCATCTCTCTCTCTTGCACTTGTGTCTCTCTTTCACACTGCTAGAGAAATTCTCCCTCTTTCTCTCTTTCTCATTCTCTCTCTATAGCTTTTCCCCTTCTCTTTCTTCATCTCTCTTTGTCTCTATTGTTTTTCTCCATTTCTCCTTTCTTATCTGACTCTCTCTCTTTCTCTCCATCTACCTCTTTCTCGTTCTCTCCCTTTCTCTCTTTCCCTAATACTCTCCCTCTTCCAATCACTCTCTCTCTCTCTCTCTCTCTCGCTTCCATTTCGCATTTAGGGTAACTATGAATGCATATTAATGAAGAAGAAAACTTTTATAAACCTGAGTACCATCGCTGAAGCTCTGCTTATCATCATATGAGACCTGCAGCACATGATGATGCTGAAGCTTTGTTCCCCAAAGAAAATAAATGCTCTGTGTGTGCTCCGACTAGTTCTTGCTGTATTCGTGAGTATATTTTCATTTTCCATTCATTGTTATTATTTTGGATTTATTTTTCTTATATATTTTCTGCTCATTTTTTTTCACGTTTCAAGCTCACATCGTCGCTTAGTTGATAAACGAACGCGTTTGCGAGCGGACCTGCCACAAGGCAAAAACAGAAGAAACAAAACAAAGTTCGAGTGACTCCAGTATCGGCTAAGAATTATAAATATATATATACTTTATATATATATATACATAGAATGCATGGGTGAGTATATGCAGAGAGAATGCAAATATTTCGAAATATTTGTTTTAAGACCCCTAAAAGTCGATATGGATATTATATTATATATACATATATGTATGTCTATGCTTCCATCTATAGAGACCTCGTTGCTAAAGCTATCAATGCTCAAATCAAATAGTTCATTTGTTTTTTGTAAATTTTTGTAGTATACAATAAAATCCAATCATAATTTTTTACCTCAAACTATTTTGATGTTTTTCAGGCAATTTCTGGGCATATTTTCATCGATCCCATTCAAAGTTCAAGTGATAGAGTTGAGAGTTTTACTCATTTGTCGTGACACGACGGCGATTTTAATTTTACATCAATCGACGGACTTCAAAGATATTCATAATTAGGTAAGCACAAGGTCATTATTATTATCATTTATTACATTGATTTGTATATATGTATGTATCTCAATTTTGAAATACTTCTCAACGGAAATTCGGTTTCCCCCTTAGTCAATCGATTTGTTTTTTTTTTTTTTTTTTTGCTTTTCGCTTTATTTGCTTGACTTCCTTGTGTTATTTGCATTTACCTGCACATTTGACGAGAGCTCGCGTCTCAGAGAAAAAATAAAACAACAACAACAAAATGAAACAAGAGTCAAACATGACACACTGACACAATTTGTAAAGCCTGATTGTGGCTACCTCTCTCTCTCCACCATTGTCAGCCAGATCTGCAGCTCATTTGCGTGTGCCCCAATTTGCTAAAAAGGGGAGCTTTACACACACACAAACACACACACACACATCTATAATGAGCCTCAGCGCGTGACTCAACGTTGGAGCATGCATTTGACTTGCTCGTGATAAAGTTGACGCTGTCACAAATCTTGAAATTAAAACGCAATTGGCATTGGCATTGGTCTCTGGGAGGGGGACTGGGCAGTGGGATGCAAGCATTTGCATCCATTGGATGCGCTTATGCATATATGCACATTTGCATGTGTGTGTGTGTGTGTGTGTGTGTGCAAAGAGACGCCAAAGTCTGGCTAAGATCGTACGTGACGGGAGCTGCCTCGCGTCAAAGGCAATCGCGCACACATGACTTGAGCTAAAAGCAAAAAAAAAGAACATAAATGAATAATAAAAATAAATATAAAGTAAATCATAAAAAAGCGCTTACAGCAAATGCGTTGGGCTTTGTTTAGAATTGTGAACACAAAGCAGAAAAGCCAACTGCGCTTATCGCAGCGCAGCAGAGCTGCGCGCGGCTCTGTCTTCCTTCCTCTCTCTCTCTCTCGCTCTCTTTCTCACACGCTCTCGCAGCCAAGTTTCAAATTAAAGCTTTACCAAAGTTGCCGTTGCCATTAGAAAGCTTTTGGCACCGTGGGCCACGGCCGTTGCGACGGGTCGCGCGCACACCGACACGCGACAAGCGCCTGCATGTCCAGGCCGACAGGCTAACTACCTGTTGGCTAGCCGCAATGTCTTTTTAATCGCTTTGCCAGGCCATCGGCCTACCTGCATCAAATGCCTATAAAGGTGTGCGCGGGCAGGCGTCTGTAAGCAGTTGACTTTGAGTGCTCATCCTTGTAGGTCTGCAAATTAAATTACATAAATAATAATTGTGGAGAAAGAAAAACCAAAATTATAATACACCCATGCATTTAGGTAAGTTCCGTTATAATATAATCATGTTAATCATATTAGCAATGCTAAGACCACAGCGTACTAGTCCCATATGCCATACCTATAACCGTTTGGCCATATTCGCTCAAGTAAAGCATTCGCTGAAGAGAGACAAAACGAATAACATAAATTAGCATTTCCTCCACATAACAAACACACAAACATACATACATGCATACCCATCTACAGCTGTTTAGCGCGCCGAATTAAAGCAAACAAAAGCCAAAACACACGCACACACAGAAAGTTTGGCACACGATGCAGTGCGGTTGCTGTGAGAGCTTTCCTTGCTGCAGCTTGCAAGCTTTTTGGCCACTGTCTACGGTGCCGCTGTCGCTGCTGCTGCCTCTGCCGCCGCTGCTACTGCTGTGCTCCCGCTCCATGACCAAAAACCAAATGACGACACTTGAATTGGGTTAGGCGCAATTGGAGACATGCGTCAGCTGCGCGGCTGGCGCTGGCAGCGTTTACGGCTACAGCGGCTACGTCGCCGACAGCGCAAGCGTTTGTCTTTTTCTTTGTTTGCCAGAGCCACCTCGACGCCGGCGTCGCTGTTACAATTACACATGCAGCGACCGTGGGCAGCGGCAGCGCAAGTTCATTCGCTCACACACCGACACGGACACAGCCACAGACACAGACACAGACGCACGCACGAGAGAGACGCTGCGCTGCTGGTGTCGCTGCCCGTCCATTCTGAGCTTCAATCATACACGGCGGCCGCAGACGTTTATTTTGTTGTTGCTGGTCAACAAGTTAGGCAGCTGGTCGTGCAATTTCTTGCGCTAGTTTTCAAATACGAAATTCGCCAATCTTCAATCAATCCAACGTGATCAACGTCAAAACGTCAAACGAAAAAGGTCAAAACAAAAAAATATACGAAATACTAACATTTGCGAAAATAATCAAAGCAGACCAAACAACCAGCTAACGAGTTTTCTTTACAGTTTGACTGTAAGACACTCTCTGCTGTTTTCCTGTGTGAGTGTGTCAGTGTCTTTATTTTTTTTTCCCCCTCTGTTTTTTGGTGTCACTTCTCTGTGTTTTATTGTGTGTCGAAGCAATTTCTCAAGTGCTGCGTAAAACGAATTTCGCGCGCCGCCAAATTTTGACGTCAGCCGCGCGACGGGCCGCAACTGCGAGAGTTACGTTTAGTTAGCTGTGCGAGATATTCTGATATTGTGATTCGGACAGCCTATACGGGTATTTGCATTTTCCGCCCAAAGCAACAAAAGAAAAACTATGCGCGTGCCCATGCTACTGCTGCGATTACAACTAATACGACAAGAGCAAGAGCAAGAGCCAGAGCCAGAGCCAGAGCAAGAGCAAGAGCAGCAAGCAGCAACAGCAGACGAAGGGGAAGAGGCAGAGAAGCAAGAGAAACAACATCGCCAATTCTGCACAGTGAGCAAAAGGCGCACGTAAAATGCAACTCGTAACGTCAACAGCGAGCGTCAACGCCAGCGCCAGCGTCAACGGCAGGGGCAGCGTCTCCCCTAACGGCATTTTAGGAGCTTCCATTGCGTACAAACGCAAGCCCGATCAGGAGCTGGAGCTGCGACGCAAACAGCACAGAGGCAATTATAATGCGTACGGCTACAACAACAACTCTTACTACGATAACAACAACAACAACAATTGTAATGGCAATAGCTACGGGTATGGCGACCAACGCAAGCAGGTGGGCAAAATGTATTACAATTCAAAGGCGCGTCCACCGTGGGCCAAATATCGTACGCCGATATTCATAACAGCAGCAACAACAGCAACGATGACAACAACAACAACAAATTCAGCGATTGCAGCAACAACAATGCCAGCAGCATTTCTCAATACCAGCAACAGCAACAACAACAACAACAACGATCAACCGTTAACTACAAACTCAGTACCAGCAGCAACAACAACAACAGCAACAACGACATGTGAGTCTCTTGTTATTGTTATTGCTTTGCTCTTGTCTCCGTGCTGTACGCTATGTCTCTGCTGTTTTTTGTTTTGTTTTGTTTTTTTCTTTTTTCATTATTGTTATTTACTTATTTTTTTGATGTGATGTTTTCTTCTTCGTTGCTTTGTTTTTGTTTTGCGCAGTCAGAGCACATAAACAGAGTCAACGTTATCGCGTTGCACGTTTTGCACAACGACAACAGCGACAACAACAACAATAATGCAAACAGCTGCGCGCTTGTAAAGAAAACAGCTGATTGCCGTGCACAGCGTGACACAGTGGTACAAGCCACGTAAACATTTGTGCAAATAGTAATTATGGCGGTATTAATTCAATAGTTAGTTTCAAGTTAAATGTGAAACTAAAAGAAGCCGTTAAATGATTTATATATATCGAATGCGTATATAAGATTTATATATATATATTTATAAGATATAATGGCAAGCAGTTTTATTTCTTTTATTTTCGATTTGCCCAGAAATTCAAATTATCGAGAATTTTGTATCTAAAACGAACCTTTTTCAGGGGGATAGAATTTTTGCAATTTATCGCTATTTTCGATTTAGTGGGAAACAAATTATCGAAACTGGACTGTATTATATAATTGATTTCATTATAGATAGAATTTTTTTCGATATATCGCAATTCTCGATTTAGAGGGGTACAAATTATCGAAACTGGACTGTATTATCACTGTATTATTACTATATGTAATTTATAATTTATTTACTATAATTTGCTTATTAGTGCTTATTGGCATAGAAGCTATAATAATAGTTATTTTTTTATTTTTTATTTATTTATAAATATTATTTGGTTTTTTCTGTTTGTTTTTTTTTTTAATTTTTAATTTATTTATTTTTTTTTTATTTTTATTATTATTATTATTTTTTTTTTTTTTGTTGAATTTTCAGTACATATAATTAATGTACAATATAATTGTGTAAAATAGTTGTGCAATTTTTAAATTTTTTTTTTAATATTATGAATAGAGTTTAGAGAGCAATCCAATTATTGATGTCCTTGGATATTAAGTTATCAGTAATGCTTCATTTATATATACTTTTGGTAGTACTACTTTCAGTACTAATTCTTATATTGTATAATTGAACTATAATCATCATGATCATCATCATATTATTATTATAAAGTATTACTTATTTATTTTTTATTATTTATTTACTATTTACATTCAAAACTCAATTCTAATCGTTATATATGTATATACTTACATCGTATTTTGTATCAACTCTATAAATCAAGTTCAAACAAAAAAGATGCTCGTAACATTTGTTTATCAGTCAACATTTATCGTTAAACATATATTTGAGGGGGAAATGTTTATGCGCTTATATTATATTTAAGCACTGTAAAGCACATATTTCCGAGAAGCAAAGTCCCATGAATCACTTATGCCGAAAACGACAATTGGCGATCTCTCACACATGTACGCCCCGGCGATCTATCTGGCCAGATATATGTACATACATAGATCTATCTACATTAGGCATCCATCTATCTTTCTTGAGTCTGAGTAGGAAAAGATTTATATTGAATTCGAGTGGCGTCGCCGACAACCCGGCAATGATGCTGCAAATTGATGCCGGCCAAGGATAAACAAGGCATTACGCGTTGCGTTCTATTCCCCCCCCACACACACACACACACACACTCACACACACACATACATATGTACATATTTATATCTGCTAAGCAATGCGCCATTAAGAAAATAATAATTAAAATCATAAATGCAAACACATGCACTTAAAAGACGATGATCAGAGGAGAGCAGCAACAACAACAACATCAACAACTACAGTGAGGCAACGCACTCAAAGAGGTTAAAGCACGGCAATGAACTTGAAAGCCAAAAGTTTGTTATTTTCGAGGTTAAATCCATATGCCACCCCACTGTTTATGTGTGTGTGTGTGTGAGTTTATCTATGTGTGTGTGTGCGCCTGTCAGCTAGGGGCGCGGGGTTGGTTGGGCTCTCAGTTTGGCATTGGCATTGAACATTTTTCTGCAATTTGCCTTGAGCTTTCTACTCCTTTCCCCGTTCTCGCACGCCCCTATTCTCTTCTCACTCTAGCGCTATCTTAAAAAATTATCAGCAGTTTCTGTTTAGCGTCGCATATCGAACAAACCCAAATGTATTGCCCAAAATTGAATAAACAATAGGTTCAATGCACTAAACGCGCAGTAGAATTCAATTGGCAAATATACAAACATTCTCACGCGCTCGCACATGCCTCTCTCGCTCTCTATCTCTCTTTCACTCTCTCACACACGCGTACACACGCGCACACAAAGCCATTCAAGCTGATGAGCTTTTAGAGCTTTTTGCGGGTGCTGCTGCTGATACTGCTGCTGTGCTGTAAGCTAACAGTCTGCTGTTAATGCACAGACACACACACATGCACTGCCAGCTACCTCAATATTTCTACTCTGCCCATCTGCTGGTGCTGGTGCTGCTGCTGTGCTGTTAGCCAACAGTTTGCTGTTATGCGCACACTCATGCACTGTTAGCTACCTCAACATTTCTACTCTGCCCATCTGCTGCTGCTGTTATCGCTTTAATCTTTTTGTTGTTCTTTTTTTTTTGTGACTTTTGAACGTGTTGCCCATTCAACCCGCTGTTGTTCATGGCTGAAATTATTATTTATTTGCATATATTTGTCATACGCTCTGCCATTGCAAACTTATCGCCAAATTGTTGCGATAAGTCTTATATTACGCATACGCCGCCGTATCTGCATCTGCTGCTACTGCAGCAACAACAACAACACAAATTTTGATAAATGTTGCGTTTGTTTTTTTTTTTATTTATTTATTTTTATTTCGCTCTGAATTAACAGCAATGTCAATGGAACTTGATGCAATTTCACTTATTTATAACTGCGCACAATATTATCGTTCTGAAATTGCATGAGTTGAGTCTTTCATAAATATTTATGAAATATACAAGTACAGATATCCGTATATCTGTTTCTTAAGAAATTGACTGAAAATTTAACATTGATTTTGTTAGGAAATAGAACTTATATCAAATATTACCAGCGAATTTCCTGTGTTTCTAAGGTAAATATTAAATATTACGCATACGCAACATTGCCAAAAATATTTATTAGTTACTATTAAATAAAAGTCATTTATTTTTTTAAGTTTTTTTTTATAGTTATTATTTTTTGTATATTTTGTTTGAGCATTCTTTTTTTTTTTTAATAAGTTCATAGATTAATTTTGCTAATATTTTTAAATTATTTGTTATAAAATTTGTCCTTATTAAGCTGAAATTATTGAAAGAATATATATATATATATATATGTTTATTATTTATTTTATCATTAGTCATTTATTTAAATCTTAACTTTTTCTCAATATAAAAATTAATAATTATTAGCTTGAATTTATTTTATTCATATTATAATTATTGAATTAAAATATCAATAAATATATCGTAATAATTAATTAATTATAAATTATGGAAAAATATCGGATTACATTAGCTAAGTTTTTTTTAACAATTTGTGTTTTATTCTTAATGTATGTGAACATTTTAAAATTGCATTTTTAATTTAAAAAACCAACATAAACTAAAGCATTTGCACCTGTCGCCGTGTCAAATATTAATGAGGATGTTTTACTTAATTGTTGTTGTTATTGTTTCTTTTTATACCCTGAACCCATTGAAAATGGGAAATCAGGGTATAATGGTTTTGTGAAAAAGTATGTAACGGGCAGAAGGAGGCGTGGCAGACCCCACAAAGTATATATATTCTTGATCAGCGCGACAAGCTGAGTCGATATAGCCCTGTCCGTCTGTCCGTCCGTCCGTCCGTCCGTCCGTATGAGTGCGTCGATCTCAGAAGTTACAAAAGCTAGAGAGCTGAAATTTGGCAGGCATACTCGTGTGTACCATACGCAGTACGAGTTTGCTTTATTTTTTCGATAAATCGTTCGATAACTTTTTTATCGAGAATAATCGAAAAATTGATTTTGTTTTTTTAACCTAATTTAAACACTTTTAGACCTGGAGTCTTCAAATTTACGTTGTATATAAAGTTAATCGATACAAAGATTTTGTAATTTACAGATTTTGGATACCACGCCCCCTTTTCCCCCAATTTGTAAAAAACGCATTTCAAGTACTAGAGACTTGTGCTTTGGAATGTGCACACATATTCACCATATGATTACACTCTAAAAGTTTCATTAAGATCGTGTGTCTACAAAAGAAATTATTCAACAAATAAATTCTCATAATATTGCCCACACTGCAGCGCAGCCCAAGCGCAGTCGCTGCTTACTGCGCAGTTAGCAGAGCGCAGGCTTATGCATGCGTGTGGATGCATGTGTATGTATGTGTGCATAAAATAAGTCCAGAATGATTAGAATATCAGCTTGGAGGGTTCAGGGTATCTCCTAGTCGAGCAGTCTCGACTGGAGCGTTCTTACTTGTTGTTTTTGTGCTGATGAAATGCTACGTAAAGAAGCATTTAGAACGATTTTAATGTCCGACTGTCGTCGTTTCCAATTAGACTTCCGTTGCGCCAATCAGACGAAACAGTTAGTCAAGTGCTTCCGCAAGCGAAGCTTAGTCAATGCTCAACTGAAGTGCAGTTATGCCACGTGCCCGACAGGTGCACTGAGTGTGTGTGTGTGTGTGATGTATGATGTGTATATGTCTCTGGAGCGTGTGTGTGAGTGTGTGTGTGTGTGAGTGTGTGTGTATTTGTGCATTACTTCCTGTGCGTAATCGGCGTAATGATGAACAAAGCAAGAGCAAACAGACAGGAAACGAGGCGAACAGCAAAAACAACAGCAAAAAAACAACAACAACAACGAAAATTCTTGTTTTCGTTGTTTTTACGGTCGACCATGAGCCAAGAATGCAACGCAATGCAAATTGAATGACAACATGCACAATATGCTGATAATTTACAATTTATTAATTATTTAGCGCACTCGACACAGCACCTTCCCTCCTACGCCTCCCTCCCCCCATCCCCCTCCCCCTCCTCTGCCCACCATCTTCCCTCCACACTGGGCGCAGAGTCAAAATTTCGCCTACCCCAACAAGTTGCGTCGTTGTGGCTAGGCAAGGACAGCGTCAGTGCCCGTGGCTAAGGTTGTTGATGCCACAGATCGAGATATACATACACACACACACACACACGTACTTACACACTGTATTCATATATATATATATATAGTCTCGTTGGTTCAATAAACCTGGCCTGCCCAATATTTTGAAATTGCGCCAGTTGAACGAACTTGTTGTTGTTGTTGCCCAATGGCCTGCCGCAGACGCAACAGTTGTTGCCATCATTGTGCTGCCAGCCGCGCAGCCAGCGGCGCTGCCAACGTCTCTGCTATCATCAAATTAACAGAATTTGCTGCAGAAAGTTCAAGCACCTGCAATGACATCGCTTAGCTTTTTTCTAAGTGCACGCGAGCGACCTCTCTCTCGCTCTCTCTCTCTCTCACTCTCTCACTCTCTCCTACACATACACATAGTCACACTCACAATATGATTGATGTTAGTGAGAGCTTCGAATGCTCCCAAGTGCAACAAGCACAACAACAGTAACAGTAACGATAACAGTGGCAGCTGCTCACGATTGAGTCTTTTAACAGTGGCAGTTAATGCTAAGCCTTTAACAGCCAAAGCATCATGTGCAACGGTTCGTTTCATCGATAAGCTTTTTGCTCAACTTTCTTCAAGGCTGTGGAAATTACAGTGTTAACTGCACTATTAAGTTGCTTGGCTAAGCAGATATTTCACTAAATAGAGTATAATATATGTAAACATATGATATAAATATGTATGTAAATATATACGTTATTAAGTATATATAAGCTAAATTTGCATGGATAGATCGCTTGTCCACTTGATCAGTATCAGAAGGATCTGCTGCCATCATACGAACAATATGACTAAGCATGTCATAAAACCGTTAGATATGCAATGAATATTAACAGACTAGCGTGCCATTAGCTAATAAAAGAACTTCCTTTAGGAAAGCTTAGCTAACAGAGTGCTGTTAAAATTGAACATTTTTCTGCGCTATGATTATGTTAACTATGTTGATTGTGTTAACTATCTTATTTCTGCTATTTATTAATGTTCTCTTCTTTTTCTCTCTCTTTCAGGTAAGTTAATAATTTTGTATTTTTCCTATGCATTTAACAATTCTATGGGTAAGTGCTGCTATTTTAATGTCTTTGCGCCAAGCCCCAAAAATCATATACAAAAGACACGTCGCGACGTGAACAACAAACTTCATCAAATGTTAAAGATAACCAGGAACAGTGTGGCAAATGAGCGTTACTGACTATTGAATACCCATTCATGGCCCAAACGCCAGATAGGTATTTCAATTTGCCACGCCCCCGACTGGGGTATTTACAGATATAGAGGATCTCTTGTAGTATTTTAGCTGTTATTTTAAGTTTATAGCTCTAAAACGTTTTATTTTTATTCGACACGCCGTCAAATGGGCAATGATATATACAGATATCTGTCATATCTTATTAAATTTGATCTGTCAATCTGTTCTATTTGATGCTATGATTTCTGAGCTACCTGAAAAGACATTTTCCGATTTGCCGCGCCTCTATTGGATCGTCTAGATGGTTTTTATTCAGAAACTAATATACTCATCTTTATTTTCATGAATGTGTATAAATATATATACAAAATGTATATAGAAAATGTCCAATTATTTATGATGCTAAACGCGTTAGAAATTGCGCATTTGCAAAGAGACAACAGCAGCAACAACAACAACAACAAATGACAAGTGACATATTATTAAATGTGAAACTTGTTGCATTTTGTATAAATTTCGAATAGCGCATAAATTTGGAGTAAATTGATCAAGAGAAACGAACCAAAACAGGAAATGTGTGTGGGTGTGGGAAATGTGTAGGGGATGCAGGGAGGTGGGGGCGGTAGGCGGGGTCGACGGTGTGGGTTTGTGCCAGGCGAAGTCCTTCGCTACAGTTCAACGAACCAAAAAAAAAAAAAAAAAAATAAATAAATAAATAAAATAAAATAAAAATGTTGCCAAGCCAGCTTCAGGTTGAGCTAAAACTTTGGGGGCCAACTGCGTAGCGGGCCTGGAGACAGCAGCGAGCGAAAGAGACAGCGGGGAGGAGAGAGAGAGGAAGTGAGGGAGAGGGAGCGAGAGCGAGAGCGAGCGCGAGGGTTGCAATTGCGCGTCGCTTCGCATCGCGTCGAGTCATTAACATTTTGGCAGCGCGATGTTTCATTGAACCTGAGCTCAACCAGATAGCATTAAGATTTATACACACACAAACACACACAGAAAGAGAGAGGGAGAGCGAGTGAGAGAGAGTGCGAGATGCGTACACATTGTGCAAACGAACAGATGTTAGCCTGACGCCATCTGTTGGCCGCATGACGAAACTCGAAACAGTATCACGCATCACGCATTGTGCAAGGACATCTGCTCGCTCGCTCTTAAGGTTGTTGCTCGTTAAGATGCCCCATTATGGGCAGCGATCGCTTCATCAATTGAGCAAACAAACAAAGAGGGAGCGAGAGAGATGGAGATAGAAATAGAGACAGAGAGAGAGAGAGAGAGAGAGAGAGAGACTAGCGCACCTGGAATATATACACACCTGGCTGGCATGTAAGCAGCTGTTGGTATAGACTGATGTAGATATATATGTATGTATATAGGCTATATATATATATATATATATATATTATATATATATATTTACCTATTATATTTATTTTTATATTTATATGAATTTCAAATCAATTTTTGGCAATGCTTTGTTAGCCTCAATGTGATTCATTCGTAATTCAATTTCAAATCAAACATGTTTTTCAATATTTAAAAAAAAAAAAAAAAAAAAAAAAAAGATACACTTTTTTTTTTGTAGTACTAAATACACATGCATGCTAAATATTTAAAATATTCTTAAATAACTTTTGTCTAGAAAATTGAAATATTTAGTTCTTTGTCTTTAAGAAAATGATGTCAACATTTAACAATTTTTTTTTATATAATTAATATATAATTTATTTAGTTTATATTTATTAAATTAATTCCATGAGATTTTTGCATATTCATGCTCTATATAGTTTTCCCTAAAATACATAGGCTAGCGATATTTAAGCTAATTTATTGAGTGAATGTTGTTTTATTTTGCTTTTAGAAAAGTTGTAAAAAATTTAATATTTTTTATTTATTTTATCAAATAATTTGTTTTAATTTTAACAATTTTTTTTATTGTTTTAAATGAAAAACTAAAAGAAATTTTATATTTAAAGTCTATGTTATCGAAGTACTAAAAATTTATTTTAGAAATACATAAAAATATATATATTTATATATTTATTTTTATAGATATAAACTTTGCGTTTTTCTTTTTAATTTTAACAATTTTTGTATATTGTTAAAAAAAAAAACTTTTGAAAATTAATTTTTAATCTATTTATCAAAATCAATTAATTTAGAAAAAAATGTAATATTCTAAGTATATTTCATCAAAATCATTTACCCTTTATTTAATTTTTGAATTTCAACAAATTTGTTGACTCATATTCTCAGAATATTTTTCCGAATATATAATTCTATATGGAATACTAAACTTTGACAGTTATTTCTGCTTAGATTAAAATGAGAAAACATCAAAAATTCCATAATTAATCAAATGAAATGTGAAGGGGAACAAAATGTCAAGGATTCGGCAATTAGGTATTGGATCAACTTTGTAGCTGACGTGGCTCCCATGCACTTGTTAAATATAGATATATATGTGTGTATGTATGTATGTGGATGGGGATGTATAGATAGATAGATATCGGACTGTGTCTGTCTGTCTGTGTTTTATTCTAATTACCAAACACGCATTCAGCTCAGCCAAAGGACTTGAAATGTTGTTGAGGGGCAGGCCAAAGTTTGCTGTTACTAGGAGCAGCCAAGCCCCATCCCCTGCCCCCAACCCTTATGTCTGCGGTGGCTCGCTGTGTGTGTGTGTGTGTGTGTGTGTGTGTGTGTGTGCCCCCTTACCTTGTGGCAACAAAGGCGTACGTGTCCATTTGCAATCGGCTGGCAGCAGTAAAAAAAAAAGGAAAAAATTAATCAATTCAGTTCATTGCAATCGGATGCACTCGACTGTGTAATACCCCTTACCTGTGTCTAGTATACAGATATGAATATGTATGTAGAATCTGTTAGATGTGTTCAATCTAGTGTAAGCTCTTCTTCTTCTTCTTCACTTGCCAAGGCAGCAACAGAACGTGAGAAGAGGCTCTTCATGCAGCCCCCTCAGCCCCTGCCCCACTCGATGCCCCGCTCAATAGCACTCGAATGCAACCCTTTGTGGATCACAGTGCTGCACCCTCAAAGGGTGTGTGTGTGTGTGTGTGTGTGTTTGTGGCATGTTGCATGTTGCTAGTAAGCGTCAAAAGTTGTTATAATGCGCAAGGCAAGCGCTAGCCTAGTTCTAACTCAATCGAGGACTCAATTTAACCCAAGGCTAAATATTTAACATGCTGCTAAATGCGGTTAAGTATCAGACTTGCAGTAAATTGAGATTGCATGTGTATGTATTGTCAATCATAGAAACATTCCATATGTATTTCTATGTACAATATTTATAAATATATATTAAGCATTGATTTGAAATAAATAAATGGTTGTTCTTAAACAAGTTTAGCCATAAAATTCATTCTCTATCCAGCTTGACTCACGTGCTATTTGGCATTTTGTTGTTACGATCGGATCCGCGTGCTATTTCATGAAGAGCGCACAGCTAAGAGAGTGGGAATGAGAGCGGGAGCAAGAGAGTGTTTGCAAGAGAACAGCAGATTGAAAAGAGCTGACTCAGCCTGGTACAGTGGTTAGCAGGCAAATGAACACTCGTTCAAGTGTCACGAAATAAATTATATATCTGATGTATATATTGATATATGTGATGTGAATACTGAAATATTATATACTTATATTTCAATTAAATGTGCACATATATTGCTATTTTTTATTAACATGCTCAAAAGTTAAAATATAAGCAACAAAAATCCTACTTTAATATACTCCAAATATATATAAATTACTCATTGAATGCGTTTAATATGTGAAATATACGCAATACATATATACATATACCCTAAAATAAACAAAGTCTATACATTGAACTTTTGCCATCAATCAAATCGTCTCTGCCCACGGTGGCAATCACATTTGGCGAGAGCAAATAACATAACATCATGGTTACGCTCATTTTCGACGACTGCTAACAGTGCCATTGTGAGTTTAACATAGACATGTGCTTGCGTTTAGCATGAGCTTGTATGCCAATTTTCATTACGAGCGCTCTCTCGCAACGCTCTTTAACAGTAACAGAGACAACGACAGAGCTGCGCAGCGACGCTACAAGAAAGTCAATAAGGCAAACATGTTAAGCTTAACATAAGATGCAGAAGAAGCAGCAGAAGCAAAAACAAAGCCGAACGAGACGGACGTGTGAACGGTTGGTCGGCGCGCGCACACAAGCATAAAAACGCGATTCTTAATTCCGGCCCCGTTTTTTCGTGTGCATTTCAATAATAAACGAAATCATAAATTATATATGCCCAGCCGTCGCGAATTTCTCAATTCAATTTGTTTTAAAAATACATACATATATAAATATACAAATATAAATATATTTATATTTGTTTTTGTTGTTTTTTTGAGTTGTTTTCTGCGCTTAGTCTGCGGCAAATGCAATTGTGGAATTGCTGTTACAGTTATTTAACGGGTCCATGCAAAACAAAACATGGCGTTACAACATTGTCTGCCAATAGCAAGAGCAACAACAACAACTGCAACGAGAAAAGCAAAAGCAAAAGCAACAACAGCAACAACAACTACAACACACTGGCACGCCGTAAACAAGCCAAAGGATACGCAGCACACGTTGCCGCAGACAACAATTACCGCAAGTAGCATAGAGTAGTGAATGAAGCGGCACAGCGCAAGAGCAAAGAAGAGCAACAACAACAAAAACGCACGCAAAAAACGTTTGACAAAAGGCAAATAAAAAACAACAACAACAAAAGAAAAGAAAAAACAAAACAAAATACAGAAGAAAAATAGAGTAAGAAAACGCAGCAGCAGCAGCAGCAACGCAGCAAAACTCTTACGAAACGTGAATAACGAAATTTGCCAAGAATCCAATTGGATAGCATGCAGCGGAATTCGAGTTGGAAAACAAATTGAAATCGTACAAGTTGGAAAATATTAAATAATCTAAAGCAAAAAAATAATAATAATAATAATAATAATAAAGAAATAAAAGAAAAGCGAAAAATAAAGAAACGCGCGCGCGCCTGCGCCCAGCAAAGAGAAAAAGAGAGAAAAAAATTGTTTATATAATTTTCGTTAGAAATTATTTTTATTTTATTTTATGTGCTAAGTGTGCAGTGAGCAGTGCCAAAAAAAAAAACAAAAAAAAAACAAGTTAATACCATTTAAACCAACAGCAATGGAGCAAATCACGAACTACTTTGAGCACATGGATTACGTGTCCTTCGGCGTGATAGCATTGCCCTGCGTTATCATTGCCATCTACGGATTCCTGCAGGTGGCCAGCGGCCTGGCCAAAGGCAAACGTAAGTGCAGCGTCCCTCATTGAATCTGTTAGCGCACTGACTCAATTGCCAAGAATGTGTATATACGTAGTACTCGAAACTATGTACTATAGATGTGATGTGTGTGTGTGTGTGTGTATTCAGATTTCATTCTTTAGGCCAGGCGATGAGTCAAACTGGATGTAAACCGAGCGCTGCTAGCTAGACACAAAAGAATCGTTCAACAAAAGTAACTGAAACTCGATTAGACCTGGCTGCAATGCATTTATGTTAAGTAACAGTTGTCCAATAAGAATCGCCATTCTATTGGGAATCTGTCATAGGAATTTCTATTTTGCATTCGCATTTCCAATTGTCTTGCAATGCACCTATATTAACTACCTATGTTAAGTAACAGTTGTCCAATAAGAATCGCGATTCTATTGGGAATCTGTCATAGGAATTTCTCTTATTTTGCATTCGCATTTCCAATTGTCTTGCAATGCACCCATATTAACTACCTATGTTAACTAGCATTTGTCCAATAAGAATCGTGATTCTATTGGGAATCTATCATAGGAATTTCTCTTATTTTGCATTCGCGTTTCCAACTGTCTTGCCTTTTAACATTTCTAGTTTATTATAACACGCGATATGGGTATGGCGGAGTCATAGCAACAGAGGAATGTGTATATACTCCAAAATGTATACTCGACGTATGTGTGTATATTTAGATAGATTTCGTTCTGTAAGACAGGCAATGAGCTTAGACTTTAGGTAAGCCGACTGGTACTAGGTGGCACATGGGAATAGCTCAGCAAAAATGATCGAGACTTTAACAGACTTGGCTAAAGTGCACTAATGTTGTTGAATTTACAAATACCTGTAAACATTCCATGTTAACTTGTCTAAAAAGTGTCATAATTTTCATATTATATACACTTAGTGATACATAGAGTTTATTTTTATTAGACATACGTACTAATAAGACTTTATGTTACTTAACATTATTCCTGCATTTGCAATTGCTTTGCTCTATTTATTTAACATCTTTAGCTTAACATGATACTGTAAACTTCTCTAAACAGCTCGGCGTCCCAACTGAAACCAAACAAATATGTTGGCTTAAACTCTACTTATTTGATTGAATTAACCCAAATGCCTAAATAGCATAGATCATAGAACGCGCTGTGACACATAAATCAAACAATTGCCAAGTAAATAATATGTTAAAATAAAAGAAAATAGAATTTAGCAGGCTTTTCAGGCAGCCAGTTTTAACAGCTGCAATTCGTAATGCAAATATTTCTGCTTCTTCGTATCAAAGTGGGTCTTTCCCATAGAATGTGACGTGTGCTGCTTATAGTAGATATATAGTAGATATATATACAAATACTTGTATTGTTTATATAGCATATATATAAATAGCCCCAAACTACAAGTTGAAAACGTGTTTAGCAGCAAAGACCGAGAGCTCCCAATAATTACGTAAAATCCCGTCTAAGTGTTCCAGAAAGTAAATTAAATATGTTATAAATACATATATATATATATATATATATATATATGTACTACTGCTATATCATATATACCATATGTAAATATAAATTAATATATACTTATATACATGTATGTGTGTGTGTGTGTGTATCTGCTTCTGTTGGCATGCCGGGACTGACCTATCCCTCGTTGTTTTGTATTTCTGTTCAGAATCACAATTTCGTGCAGTATCTCGAATGATAACGACGTTGAACAAATTAGGCATACAATATTGGAATATAGTATATAATTAGAAATATATGTATATAGCAGAGAAGAGATACATATTATATATGCATATAATGAGAGTATATACATATGTACATATAATACTTTTCTTATCTTATATATATTTGATAATAGGAGAAGAGAAGATTACAAATATATATCAGCTATTCTATTCTCTATATATATGTATGTAAGTAGACAAGAAGAGAAGCTATATATATTCTCGTCTAGTCACGTTTTCTCGCATCTCCTCTCAACTCCTCTCGCGTCTCTTCCAGAATTGAATAGACGAGATATGAGATATTTATCTTCTGTTCACTTCTTATAAAGGCGAGCGTAGATAAGAGGAGACTGATAGAATATATATATAATATATGCATATATCTAACTGAACTCTCGTCTCTTCTTCTTCAACCTACTCCCATCTGCAAAATTCTCTACTTACAGCAAGTAAAACTTAAAAAAAAAAACTTTAAAAGTCAAAATAAAAAACCTAACAAAAAAAAAAAAAAATCTTGATTCAGGTTTTATTTAGTTACGATCAAAAAACACGATGTTTACATAATTTGAGCAACTTTCATTCCCAACAGATAAAAAAATCCAATTCGAATTGTCGCCAAAAGGCAAAAAAAACGTTGAAAAAAAAAAACAAAAAACTAATTGGAAATTAGCACAGCGCAGCATTTGGCGGCTGACTTACTTTCTTTTTGGTTGAGAAAGGTCTATTGTTTTTTTAATCTGTTTCTTTCTTTATTTCTGATATTCCATAATAAATGTGTGTGTGTGTGGGTGTGTGTACCTGTGTGTGTGTGTCTGAATGCAAATATGAGCAGATGCTGCAGAAGATCCCAAGTTAAACACACACACAGACACACACATACACACACACACACACACACACACCTATACAACTAGACTAAGTTAACATATTTTTGTTCATCTTTTTCTGTTGTTTTTGGTTTTTATTTTAGTTTTCTCGGTTCTATTTCAATTTATATATTTTATTTTATTTGCACTTTGCTGCTATTTGATTATTTATTTGTTGTTATTTATTTAGTTTTAGTTCGCTTTGCTGCTTAGCTATTTCTGTTGACTTTCGTCTGTTTGTTGTTGCCGTCGCCTTTGGCCACTCGCAAATTGAGTTCACATATCGCGAACGCGCTTAACTGCAGCGCTGCTGACAGTGGCTGCCAAAAGTAGCTGCCACCAAACCGAACTGAGTTGATGCCCATTGAACTGATTCACTCGTCATGTGCTTGATAACTGGCTGCTAAAGTTAGCTTGCTTGGTTAACATGAATAACTTAAGGAGCTAAACTTATCCTCTGCCAACTGCCTGTTAAATATTTAGCATACAATTTTCACAGTTAACTAGGAGTTGACAACTTTAGCTGCTTGTCAAAGTGGCTGTTAATGCTAAAAATCAAGAGTATCGAGGATGATGATGTTTAACAACCTATTGAAGGACTGTTTACATTTACTATTCGCTAAGATTAAGTTCGATTAAGGTGTATGTTAACTCTGAAATGTATAGAATATATATAGCTTAACAGCCTGTTAAAGTTAACTTGTGTCATGGCTAACAGTGTTATTCAAATTAAGCTTAACATGCTGTTGGCATGGCTGTTAACATTAGACAATATGTTATATAACAGTCTGTTAAAGTTAACTTGTGTCATGGCTAACAGTGTTATTCAAATTTAACTTAACATGCTGTTGGCTTAGCTGTTTACATTAGATTATATGTTACATAACAGTTTGTTAAATTTAACTTGTGTCATGGCTAACAGTGTTATTCAAATTAAGCTTAACATGACTGTTAATATGAGAATCAGTAGACTATATGTTATTTAACAGCCTGTTAAAATTTACTTTCTTTTATTAACATATTCAAAGCGGAAGTTAAGTGAATTCTTTCTGTTAAAAGTGAAGATTAACTGTATGTTAAATTTATATTTAACATACAGCAATTTTTAAATTGCTAACAATGAAATACAGCTTAACTGCCTGTCAAACTGACTGTTAAACTGGGCGGAGGTGTTGGTCTATGCGGGACTCTATTGAAGCTAGAGATAGAGCAGTTGGCTTAGTGAAATGGAAGCTTAAGATCCATTTCCGAACCCAACCATGAGTGGGCATCAGGCAGTCAGTTATGCTCGCCTATGTTCGATTTCGTTGCATCTTCAGCCAGAAAGTTGCATGCTGCACGGTCTGTCAACTGCTGTAACTATCTCTAATTATAGTTGTCGCCGCTTTTAAGGTGGAAGTTTTTTTTTTTTTTTTTTTTTTTTGTTAGTTTAGACAGATGCGCATTACGTACAACTGCGATTTGGCCCATCCAAACGAACACGATGATCATGATGATGATGATGATGATGATGATCAAGTGATACGAGGCGTTTTATAAACTGTTTATTTGGTTTGCATTTTGTTTTATTTGCTGTGTTTGTTTTTGCCGCCGTCTTAATCTAAATAATATAGTTGTTATTCGGCGTCGTCGGAGATTAGGCTGACTCTGTGTAATTAGAGGCGCTTGAGAATACAGATGCGACGACAGCTGCAGCTTTGGCAAAAAACAACAACAACAACAACAAAACGCAGCAATTTTCAGTCGATTTCAATTGCCGTCAAGCAATTGACAGGGAAATGTGAGCAGATATATATATAAATATTTATATGTTATATACATAAACAAATGTCTGTATATACTCATATTAATTATACGCACTGTTGTTCACCTAAAACGCGCGACTTATGTAATTGAGCTGTCAATGCTATTATCTTTCATATATGTATGTGTTTATGTGCGCCTGATATCTATACGCTCATAAGATAACAACAGTATATAGTCGGCAAGCTATCGATTTTTTGTATCGATATTTTATTGATAACAAATTAAAAATACGAAATTTTATGACTCTGGTTCTCTGTAATGCTTGGAGTTTTGCCTAAATTTGTTAACTATTAAATGAGATCGATTACAAAGTGTGTCGGATTATCGATATACAGGTGATTAAATCTTACTGCATTTGGTATAGAGGAATGTAGACCGCAAATCCTTTGATTTTTGTGACTTGCACATAAGGACAGACTAAGGGATTATTAGATCATCATGGATATATAATTACGTACATCATTTACCATATATCTGTTACGTCTTCTTCATTCCGAATAATACGTACGGATAGACAGACATAGAGACGAACGGATGCGTGGATATGAAGTGGATCGATTCAGTTCATCAATCTGACAAAGAATAGATATATATACTCTATA